GCCCCTTGAGTGTGTCACTCATGGATGTGGTAGGATTGTAATCCAGCGTGGTCGAGTCTGACCACCAGGTGCACTGTCTCTGGGGCCACTCGGGAGATGCAAAGTCAGCCTGTGCCAGTGCCTCTCCCAGGGCCACCCAGCATGAGCTACAGAGCAAACCGTAGTTGGCTGCTACTTGTGCTGTGCTTGGAAGTGTCCAGAAGAGGCCAAACTATGAACCAATGCAGGCTGCCAGTAGTGCCAGGCCTGGGGCCACTTATCAAGTCATATGGGGGGCGGGTGCTGCTGCTTGTTTGACAGATTTTAGGAAAGCCCTAAGCATGAGGCTGGAGAGGCCACTTGCACAGAAAAGCCCCTGGAAATGGCCTGGATGAGCTGCAGGTGGGGAGGGGCGGGGCCTCCGGGAATCANAGCCCCTGGAAATGGCCTGGATGAGCTGCAGGTGGGGAGGGGCGGGGCCTGTGGGAATCACGGGGGCGGAGTGAAAGATGTGAGTCAGGTGCTAGCAATTCAAGCATGGCGCCTGCCTGCCGGCTGTGTTTGGTAAGGACTCACCAAAGGAGCAATGGCCTCTGCCAGCCCTTCTGCCTGGGAGAAAGCTGCCCCTCCACCTCTCGCCCCAATGTCAGGCAGGTTAGCTCCTCCCCATGTGTCCCAGGTCCTTTCAGGCTGCTGCCCAGCGCTGGGCTCAGAGGGAGCGCATCTGAGTCCGTGTGCGGGCCCTTTAAGAGGAAAGGCTGGGACTCCTGCAGCCTTCACCACCCTCAGTCATAGTCCCTGTTGGTTTTCACAGCCCAAAGTTGTGGGGATTTCTCTTCCTGGCCCTGGAGCCCTGGGCTGGGGGCCTGCTGTGGGGCTGGGACCCCTCACTCCTCCTGGAAACCTCCGCCACCGAGGTATCCCTTCCGGGCTTAAACCGTGGCACTGGGGGTGGCAGTGTCTCCGGGATTCAGCCCTGACCCGCCTGCGTCTCCGCCCCTCCTACTGGTCTCGGTGCTTTTTCAGTTCCCTAGTTGTAGGGCTTCTGTTCAGCTAGATTTCAGGAGGCTCTGAGTGATGGTTGTTCTGTGTTTTAGTTGTAATGTTGATGTGGTTGTGGGAGGCGGTGGGTACAGCTGTTACCTATGCCACCATCTTGTTTCCTCCCAACAGATAAGAAAACTCTTGTTGTAAGTGAATTTAGATTTTAATTAGACTCCTTTTTACTGGGTTTCCTCTCCAGAGACAGATGAAATTTTCAGTTTTACTATTTCGATTGTTTTGGTGAAGGGTTTTGTGGGAGGAGTAGTAAGGCAATTACTCAAGGTTTCAATACTTATTATCTATGAAGGCCTTATGGTCTAAGCCTTCATTTATGACTGTTCACTCTTCCACCCTTGCTCACCTATGTTCCAGATGTCAGGGTCAGAAATCTGATTGACAGCATTAGAAAGTTTTTCATTTGGTTCCAAACTCAAGAGAAATACCTTTGGAAGATTAAATGGGTCTGAAATAAAGCAGACCAGAAGTTACAGAAGCAGAGTAGAATCTTCCTTTAGTGTGTATGTGTGTTTTTTTAATCCTCACCCAAGGATATTTTTTCCATTGATTTTTAGAGAGAAAGAGAGAGAAACATTGATGTGAGAGAGTCACATCGATTGGTTGCCTCCCGCACTTGTCCAGACCTGGGGCAGGGATTGAACCTGCAACCGAGGTACATGCCCTTGACCAGGAATTGAACCTGTGATCCTTTGGTTCACAGGCCAGTGCTCTAACCAATGAGCCAAACTGGCCATTATTATTTTATTATTCTCATTTGGCTAAGACTTCCTTAGCTATGAAATATGGAGGGTGGGGAGCAGTAGAACTTGATGCCACTTATCTGCCCCCAAAACAAAAAACTTACCTTCAACATTGGCAATTTTATTGACACAGTTAGCTTCATGTTCCTTGAGCCTTTTGATTAAGACAGCATGACAAGCATTATATTTGCAGTTAGCCATCTCTTTAGCTATCTTTGGATTTTTCTAAAAGGCAAAATTTCTTGTTAAATGACTATCAGGTTTTGCCTGTATTCCACCCTCCATTCCTTTCTGGAAATGCCAAAGACATACCATGTTCCAACATTAAGAACTGCTAGGTGGTATGTATAGTCAGAAGCTTGTTCTTTTTTTTTAAGGTCTTTAATCATTTGTAATTCGAGTTTATTTTTCTCCCTCCAGTGACTTAACAGTCCTTATGAGGAAAACTTACCTTTCTATGTGAGGCTAGGTGGTATTGTAACTTGCTGGCTTGTAGCCTGTGGTTTGGGTCATAAGGACATATTTCTAAGGCTTCTGGTTCCATGAGGCCTAAATATCAGGGACCATGGATTGGCAAAGAAAATATTGACATTTGAGATCAGATGGTCTTGACATAGGCCCATTTTCTGTTCTCGAAAGAAGAGTGGTATGAAAGATATGGGTATCTCAAGTCCTATCTATGAAACTTTTGGATAACAAAGTAATAGCCTAGCCAGTTAGATAATAGGAGAAATTCACTGCTTATATGCCTTGGAAGACCAAAAACTAACATTTATACACATTTTTTAGTCTTAAAGTTTGTTTTAAGTAGAGAACTTTGCTCCCAAATAGAGTATTAAACAGGCAGGATTTCTGGGAATACTCACAGTATTGGGGTACAATGAAGTTTAACACTGTAAATTTGAGTGCTGAAGAAAGCAACCTGGGGCAGTTGGTTCCTTTACCTTTTCAGCATTGCCATCTTTCACTTCTTCAAATGTATCTAAAAACTAAGCTCTGTGCTAGATGAGAGTGCTACTTGTCAGATAGCTACTTTTGGGGAGAGAGGATTGGAAGAATGAACAATACCACGTTCAAGTTCAGGCTACTTTATAATTATCTGAGAATACCAGTCTGAAGTCTAAAGTTGCAGGTTTTAACACATGAAGACTCCCAGAAGTGAACTAAGAACATACCATCTCAAATATGCTGCATTTTACTGCCTAGAGGAGGCCTACTTTCCCTTATCGCTAGCTTTCTTTAGCTATCCTAGCAGAGATTCACTTCAAGGACTCCCAAGTTTCCAGGCAACAGCTATAGCTGAGATTTCTGCAAAGCAGGGACAGCATAGTCTGATAAGGGGGGAAAAAAGATCAAGGCAGACTGGCATAAACAGCAAGGATAGAAAAGTGCATAGAACGGCCCATTTCAATTCTGCTTTGTATCATGCCTCAGGCATAGACAAAGGGCACAGAACTAGACTGTTAAATGTCAGTTTTCCTGAGGGCATTTAGGTGATTAAATCCAGGGATTCAGATTCAGGTATCTTTCAGGAGTGCAAATGAGGGTGGTTCTTTAAAGCTTACACTGCATATTAATGATTATATTAGAGCCATGAACACTTATGAAGTGAATTGGATCTCTGGAAAATAAAGGCTACAGCAGAAGCTTCTGGCCAAGATGGGAGAGTAGGTCAATGTGGTACGTGAAGCGTCCCACGAACACATCAAAATTGCAGCTAAACTACAGAACAACCATCATTCAGAACTGCCTGAATTCTAGCTGAATGGAAGTCCTACAACTAGGGATATAAAGAAGAAGCCACATCAAGACTGCTGGGAAGGATGGAGACCTGGAATGGGCTGATTCCACACCCAAGTGTGGTGGATAAAAATTGGGAGAGGTATCTTGGCTAAAGGGGTCCACCCTGAGGAGTGAGGGGTCCCAGCCCCACACCAGGTCCCCCAGCTCAGGGCTCTAGTGCCAGGAAGAGAAGTCCCCATAACTTCTGGCTGTAAAACTCAGCAGGGATTGTGGCTGAATGAGATAGAGGGCAGCTGGACTCCCAGGTGTTCCTCTTAAAGTGCCTGCACATGGACTTAGTCGGACTTTCTTGCTCTGAGCTACAGTGCTGGGGCAGCAGCTCAAAAGGCACCAGGGACATATGGGAGGAACTGAATTGTCTGGCTTCAGGGCAAGAGCTGGAAGGGCAGCTTTCTCCCAGACAAGTGCTGGCAGAGGCCAGTGTTCCTTTTTTGAGCCCTCCCCACACAGAGCCAGAAGGCTGGCACCATATTTGAGCCTCTGATCAACCTGGGTAACACCATTAGTTCCACCCCTGGTGATTCCCTGACATTCTACCCCACCCAAGCTGTTTCCAGTAGCTTTCCCATACCAATGGCCTGTCTTGGCTCATGCTTCAGACTTTCCTAAAAATCTCTCAAACAAGCAGCATCTGGCCTTGGCATGCCCCATACCTCGTGCTAAGTGGCCTCAGGCCCAGTACTAATGGCAGCCAGCCTTGGTCTGCAGCTTGCTTCACCTAGGCATCTCCAAGTCCAGCACCAATAGCAGCCATCTGCAGATCACTTTGTAGTGCATGCCTGCTGACCCTGGGCAGAACACAGGTGGTAGCTGACCTTGGCCTGCACCTCTCTGGAGGCCCCAGAGCCAGCACACCTGCTGGACAGTTTCAGACCACAGCGAAGCACTACCCAAATACCTCCAACAAGTGACACACTCAAGGGGCAGATTCAGCAAGCGCCAGAGCCCTGCTGAAATAAGTCCTGAAGTGTGCCCCTGAACAGCTGTTATAGCCGACAGCTATGAGTGGGCTTATGCCCTAAACAGACTCGTAGCCCTGAACAGTCTTCAAAGGGAGAATATAAAGGCAAAACTGCATCCTGGTTGGCATGGAGAGGGGTGGGAACCTAGTGAAGCAATGTACGGAAGCTGAAACAAGCATTGTTTAACCGTTAAGTTTGGCTATTTCCTGGCACTAGCTTGTAACTGTTTGTTCAGGGATATAGAACAGGGTTGACATTAAAAATGAGGGTTACATGCTTCATGATTGAAAAATGAGGGTTACATGCTTCATAGCTTATCCTCCATGGTGGTTGCAATCAGTCCTTGCAGCTGAATAACTTAGGGTTAAATCCCTTCCATTGACATGCCAATAGCAATCAAGGCTCAACTACAACAGGAGGTTGTACACAGCCCATATGGTGGGGGAGAGTGTACCTGGAGTGCCCAGCTTGGGTGATCATGGGGGCTGTGCCACTGGGCCCTACAGAACACCTACTATATAAGGCCACTCTACCAAGCCTGGGAGATGTAACAGCTCTACCTAATATATAGAAACAAACACAGGGAGGCTGCTAAAATGAGGACACAAAGAAAGATGTCCCAAAATGAAAGAACAGAACAAAACTCCTGAAAAAAAGGTAAACAAAATCAAACACAATCTACTACATGCAGAGTTCAAAACACTATAAGAATGCTCAATGAACTTAGGGGAAGAGTAGATGAACTTAGTGAGAACTTCAACAAAGAGATAGGAAACATAAAAACGGAGATAGGAAAAAACACACCAGTCAAAAATGATGAATACATTAACTAAAATGAAGACTATGTTACATATTACAGGGAATCAACAGTAGAGTAGATGAAGCCAAGAATCAAACCAGCAATCTGGAATACAAGGAAGCTAAAGACACCCAATATTGTCCTCAGATAACCCCAAACCTTTATTTTAGTCAGCAGCCTAGAGAAGTATGCAGTTTGACCACACTGGTAAGGCTGGTCTTAATAAACAAAGAGTGTTTCAGAACAGGCAGTGAGAATTGGCAACTTCGAATCACTCACCTAATTATTAATAGTTGAATATAGAAGTAGGGAGGCCAAGATTATAATGGAGGCCATTTGTTTTAATACACTGTAGCCTTGGCAAGACCTTGATGTAACTTGACACTAGAGGATCTTCAGATCTACCTCATTCTTGAAGCATTTCTCTCAATAATCTAAAGGGAAGTATTACTTGAAGAGGAAAACAATTCTCAGTAAGGCAAAACAAGGCAAATAACTGAAGTTTGAGGAGATGGAAAGCACAGTACTTTTCAGTCAAATGATATGAATCAACTTTCTGTTCAGGCTACTTAATTTCTCCCACCATATGTTCTATGGTTTCTCAGAGGTTTGGAAGCTTTTGATGTTATAGTTAAGTCTTGGAAAAGTGGTTCTCAATCCTGAGTAGTCAAAGTGGCAGATCCTTTGGCCCCACTCCAGAACTTCTGGGTTAGAATCTTCATGAATGGGGTCTGGCCAACTGTGGCTTTAAAAGAGTTCCACAGGGGATTCTGATTTGTAGCTAGGGTTCCTAGGCCCTGCTCTGGGGTAATTATCCTTGGATGGGCTCCTTTCGTTTCTAGGAGGAACTGCCACATGATCTCTCCAATGCAGATTCTCTAAAGACTACCAGTTGGCATGATTAATCCCATTTTTAAACCTGGCCTTTTTCTTTATGGGGTGCTAAATGGAATTCTACAGAAAGTGACAAGCTCAGGCATACTCAGAAATTAAAATTTTACTTTATTGTTGGCATTCCTAATTTAATGTACAGGTCTTGAGCCAAATGTTTATATATACCATATCATTTAATCACTTCCACAGTTGTATGAGGGATTACCATCATTTTACAGGTTAGGAAACTGACTCAGTGGTATACCCTAAAGTTACAAAACTAGTACGTGTTTGAGTACCATTATTATTATTTGAAGTAATACATGTAAAGCACTTGAAATAGCTCGTTCATAGTAAATAGCTAGGTCATCACTTTACTTATGTAGTAACTTATTTAACACAATAGCCCCTTGAGACAGGAAATATTAGAATATCATTTCCGTTTTACTGGCAGGGAAACTGGTTTGTAAAACTCAGCTGGTAAGTGAAAATTGGGATGTGAATTCAAGATATCTGGCTCCAGAACCTGGGCTCTTAGCTTCTAGTCATAAGGCTTAGCCCACTATTCAACTACATTTGAACACAAAATTCTGTCTGATGCCCAAATGTAGGCTTTTTTCATATACCAAGTACAGGCAAATAAGTGTTTCCAGGCTCCAGCAATCTTACAGTTCAGCTGGGTTGGCAGTATAATATGAAATGGACAAGTAAAGGTAGACCCAAATTTAGATGTAAAGTGTGTACTATAGACCAAGTGTGCAGGAGTTCAGCCAAGCCTGGACTTGGGTCTATTTGAGCTAGATCCAGAAGATTGACTAGAATTTTGGTCAGCAAAGGGGAAAGCATACATAAGTGAGAAAGGCAGAAATGAACATAACAAATTCACAGTACAACGAGAACATAGTTCCCACTAGGTTGGGAAGTAAGTATTAGAATACAGCAGAAAATAAGATTATGTTGGTATGGAAAGTCTTCAACACAATTTTCAGGATTAGGATAAGAAATGCAAGTGAGAAAGATCCAGTAGAACTATACTAACTTGTAAGAAGGCTACTGTTACACTGCTGCTCAGCTTCCTAGATGTTGGTGTCTTATTGCCTGCTCCTT